TCTCTTCCAACCAAATCCATTCTGTGAATGTACCCTTGTTTTTCAGTAATGCAATCACAACTTCTTAGGGTTAAGAGCCAGACAGTGTGACAAGTATTCTGGGTTACTGACTTTCATTTTTAGTGTTACATCACTGTGATACTGCATGATATAGTATCACTTGTGCCCTTGTAAAACTAACATGACCATAACTAGTGTTAAATGACTAATAAATGTAATTTACAACACACTGAGAGTTCAGAGTTGTCATGTTAGAATTCTGTTGGTGCAATGACAACGTGCTCAGATGTGCAGTTCTGTAAGTTGTGTGCTTTCAGTAGCCAGAACTCCCTGAGCATTTCTGAGATGCTCCCAGAGGTTAGGCAGGACACCAATCACCACATTTTTGTCTTAATTGCTGCTGGTTCAAATGCTTACTTTTCAGGCTGGGTTGGAGAGAGCCAGCTGGCAGAACAGCCCAGGGGAGCTGTAGTGGTACAAGCCAGCCAGGACTGCAGCACCAACAAGCCAGCAAGCGGCTGCTTCTGCTGCCCCCTCCTCTGAGGGCTATGTGGATCAGCCAGCTTCAAGGGTGCGGGCAGCGACGGCAGCTCTCATGGCAGGAGCATGCCTTCACCAAGCCTGGTTGTGGTTACTGCAGCAACTCCTCTGCTCTTCTCTTTACCCTTAACAAGGAGAAAGTGGGTGTTAGGACTTCCTTGGCACTGTCTGCCAGGTGGAGAGGCAGCAGCAAGTCCTGCTGGGAGGCAGGATGCTGGGCTGTGGGGGAGAGTGCGTGCTCTGCCAGAAGCACCCAAACCTCCTACACTTTCCTGTGTGAAGGGGAAGTTGAGGTTTGAAGCTTCTTGTCAAATGTAGAGCATTCCACCCACAGGGACAAGATGGAGGGAGCCTGGCCCTGATGCTAAATTTTTACACAGCTGATCCACAAGGAGTTGCCAGGATTTTCTGAGACTGTAAAGGCCAGTTGAAGAAACATGTGACTGTTGTGGCTGCATCTTCATCAGAGGTGTGAAATTTCAGTGCAAATCAGTCTGGTCTCAATATAAACCACATGGTGCAAAATAGAAACCCAAACTGATTCAATAGCTGAGGGCCAGAGAGGGGAGAGAAATTGTCTCCTTTGTGACTTAACCACATGAGTCTGTGGCTGGCAGGTAACAGGACAGCAAGCACGCTAATGGCAGCAGAGAGTTAAGAAGGAAGTCTGGACGTTGGAAAAATAATTTTATCTGGTAAAGAAATGTGTTGATAAACTGCATTAAGGTGGGATCATTTGAATGACTTTCAAATTAATACTTTTGTCTTGCATTATTTTTAAAGCAACTTTTGAAGACTGAAGAGAACAGCTGGTCCCTGGCAGAGCTGATCCATGCGGTCGTTCTCCTTACACACTACCACTCCCTTGCTTCCTTCACGTTTGGCTGTGGAATCAGCCCGGAGATCGACTGTGAAGGGGGTCACACCTTCAGGCCCCCTTCTGTCAGTAATTATTGCATATGTGATATTACAAATGGTTACCATGGGGTAGATGAAATTCATGCCAGCCCAGCTGGAAGTATTCCAGTAAGTATCTGTCTGAACAAACAGTCTCTTTCAATAGTAGTAGATTCTTTGTAAACTTAATACATGGAGAGTGCCGGTCTCTTTTCATTCAGTGAGAGTGAGATTGATTAGCTTAATCCGTATGAGGGCTAACCAGTTGAAAAGATACATTTAGGAAAAGCTGAAATGAGACCGGTAAGCTGGGGGAAGCTACTGAAGGGAGAGACCAAAGATACAATCTCTGTTGTATCTTTGTCTATTTTTTTGATCTCTTGTCATTCATATAGGCAAACTGAGATGACTCGTGGCCTCAGCTAGTTCATGATATGTATCCTGAGCAGCAGTGGCCAGGAGTGCTTTCTTTCATGAGTGCAGTGGAAAGTTGGCTGTTCCTTTGATTCCAGTCTTTGACTTTGTTGCCTTGAGGTGTTTGTGACACATCACACAACAGATCATTCACAATTTTCTGATTCTGTCTCTAAAACAGTGATTTCCTGACTGCGGCAGTTATGCCCACTGATCTGTCCTTGCTTCCCCTTAGTGAAGAGCATGATGTGAATTAATGTCGGGTTAAGAACAGTGATAACAGGGTATTTTCAATGCAGGTTCCTTGCCTGTGAGACTTTACTGCAGTGGTGTGGATGGCATTTAAATCTTGTTTTCTGGAGCTTGGTGGTTCACTGAAGGAGCAAACTGCAAAAGGCAGAGAGGAAAGGGGCAGAACTGTATAAATTGAAGATAACTTTATTTTGCTTTGCACTGATGGATTTTTACAAGATCAGATACTGAATTAATAGTGTGTTGTGGTGTTAAAACAGCTCTTGTGAAATAAGATTATCTTGCACTAGCTTTCCTTTGAGGCTTCGTTAAAGCTGCATTTACACTCACTCTTCCTTTTTCCTTCAATATGTTACTTCCCTGAGCAGAGAAGGGGAAAAATACAGTTGGGTAGTAAATTGTGGTTACTTCCTCTATCAGAATCTCTGTTACAGCTCCTTGTTTTTCAGTTGTTAAACATTTAAATTAAGTAAGAGAAATTACTTTAATTTTATTGTGAGAACCACTTGTTCCAAAAAGCTGTGATTCTTAAAATACACTGAAAAGACCAGGGATCTAATTGAGAAAAGTTGATGGCTAAATGTGAACCATTGGGTCAGTACACATTTCTTTCAAGAACTGTTTTCCTCAAAAAAAATCGGTATTTAAAGATGTGAATGAAGGACACAAGTTGTGTTTAAATTTTCTGGCTGGACAATTTCTGCCATCATTGTCAGTTACTGTTACATGGAAAGGGAATGTTTTTCTTTCCTTTTCAAGTCTACAGAGTCTGTCTGTGAAGTTGAAGCTCTTATGGAGAAAATGAAGCAGCTACAGGAGTGTAGAGATGAAGAGGAAGCCAGCCAAGAAGAGATGGCTACACGTTTTGAAAGAGAGAAGAGAGAAAGCATGTTTGTGTGTTCTCCAGGTAGAACAGATGTAGTGTGTATATATATTTATTTAGACTTTTCCAAATCACTTGAAGAAATACTTACAACCACAAAAGGAAAGAAAGTGTTATTAGATGTCTCAAAAACATTACCATTTCTTTGAAGGGATCAAGATTAGGGGTGCCTTGTTTTCTACCAGGAATGCTTAAAAACAAAGTAGTGCCAAGATTTATTGCTTCTCTCAAACACACCATAACACTCACTGACCAATACTATGTTTGATAGAAATTTCCAACAGAAATGGAATCTCTCTCTTGACACATTTAAGTTTCACAAGAGACTTAAGCATCTCACAAGACTGGGTAAAAAGAAGTCCTTATCATACTTAGCTTTTTAAGTGTATGAAATGTTACTTTTCAGATGACTGTGAGACAATACTTAATCTATTACAAGTTTAAGGTTATTCTGGGCTCTTCAACAGTTTCCTTTAAAATAAACTTGGCATGGAAGTCTTAGAGGTCTCTTTTTTTACTAAGCTCTCTGTTCTGAAACAGATTTTCCCTTGACATTTTTAGAGACCCTTTGAGTTAGGAGCAAAATGTCCCCTGGACTTAGGGGATGTGGTGAAGACTGGTACATAAAAGGAGGGAGAAAAAGATGTTTGTCTATAAGAAAGAATCTGAGTGTTTTTCATGGAGTTGCCTCTAAAAGCCATAGTTGCAGTCACACTGAGCGGTACCGAAGAATTTTAATACAGATAGTCCACTGAAATTGTGTGTTTGTTTAAAAAGCACAGAGACTCCCATTCTTCTGCAAGAGTTCCGCTAGTACACTTCCAATTTGTTGTTACTGAAATTGTGTGAAATTCTGTTTGAAATTAACAGAAGATGAAGAATCGGCACCAACAAGAGATGTGTCTCGTCACTTTGAGGATACTAGCTATGGTTACAAAGACTTCTCCAGACATGGAATGCATGTGCCCACCTTTCGTGTTCAGGTAACAAAGATAGGGGCTGCAATCAGGAGGTTTAGTGTGCAATCTGTTCGTTGTGCCAGATACCAAACCTGGAAATTGCTGTGCTGTAACTTATTGCCCTGTGGATGAGAAGGCTTAAAGCAAGCAAATGAACACACACCCTCACCCCAAACCGCTCCTCCCTGATTACCTGCCCTGAGATAAATTACATTAAAGCACTAGGTCTTCACAAGTTTATTTCTGAAATGCTCCATTCTGCATTTTTACTTATTCTAAGGATTACTCCTGGGAAGACCATGGCTATTCCTTGGTTAATCGTCTTTACCCAGATGTGGGACAACTACTTGATGAGAAGTTTCATATTGCTTATAATCTGACTTACAACACAATGGCCATGCACAAAGATGTGGATACCTCAATGCTAAGACGAGCTATTTGGAACTATATTCACTGTATGTTTGGAATAAGGTCAGTTTTAGTACTTTTGTTCTAAACACATCAGACTTGTTAGCATTGGCACTTTTTTTTTCTTTCTCAGATTGAAACAAAGCTATTTATTAAGCAAACATGCATGTATTTTTAAACATATTTTTGTTTATGGGGGAGGGCCAGTAGTGGTACAAATTACACAATTTTGCCATAGGACCTTAGAAACAATGCAAGTGAAATAACTGGTTCTTGAAAATGAAAGTGTTTTTCTTTCAATTCTGAACAGATACGATGATTATGACTATGGTGAAATTAACCAGTTGTTGGACCGCAGCTTTAAAGTTTATATCAAGACTGTGGTTTGCACTCCTGAAAAGACCACAAAAAGAATGTATGATAGCTTCTGGAGGCAGTTTGAACACTCTGAGAAGGTACAATTTGCATGCATGCTGAGGGACATGGGCCGTAGATCCGTTTGCCACACTAACAGGCACAGCTACCCAGCTAGCATTTAAACTTTAGCTGGTGTTACTGGGATTCTGCTCGCATTCAGTAAATTCATTAGGGGGTGTAGTACTCCCCAGGCTGAAATAATTCTTCATATCCTACTGCATGTTTGCTAGCTAACAGCTGACATGGACCGTGCAAGCTCTGAGCTGTATGGGGAGGTTAGTCATGTAAATCGTACAGCATCACCTCAACTGCAGCTTTCTCCTCCGCTGTCAGTTGTCCCAGAGAGACAGGGAACAGGGAGATGATGCAAGATCCAACCCTTAGCCTCAGCAGTTACTTCAAAGTCCTGCTGCTGGGTTATAGTCTGAATTGCACCTCCCAGTAATATTTCTTGCTGTTGACTCTTGGATGTCTACTCCACCAAGTTCATGTCCTCCAGTTTTTCTTTGGAAAAATATTTCTAGGCCTCACTTAAAATGAATGTTGATGCAGTGCTGAAACATATATGTGCCTTAATCAGTGTTCATATCATTAGAGGCTCTGTGTCTTGCTAAACTCCTTGTGAAAATAGTTTAAGGATACCCAGGTATAATAGGGGTACTAGAACTAGTGATTTAAGGTTGTTCACGTAAAATACTACATATGTTTGTTTTGGTTAGACTAACTGATAAAGGTGAGCTTTTCAAGCACACATTCAAAGCCCAAAACTTTGCATCTCCATAGCCGTCAAAATCCAAGTATCATACATGTACGTGTCACTGAATGCAATCGCCATCCTCATAGAAATCATGCAAATGAAAGCACACACAGCCATTACATGCCAGAACAAATTCAGAGCCAACTTGCTACCAGTGACAGAATACTTTTCACCCCACCCCCCACGTGGTTTCTGATCTCATCCTCAAAGAAATACAGTAAAGACATTGAGGAGATGAGCTGGGGAACTAAAAGTCTTACCTCTGATAGCTACTGAACACCTCTGTCTCAATAAAGATAATAGTTTTATGGCATGTTACAATTTTTCTTGTGCTTCACCTCAGCTAATCACTCCATGTTGTTCAGGTGATAATTACCTGTGTATTTCTCTCTCTGCCCCACAGGGGCAAATGACCTTATCTTGCTAACAACCCCCTCTGCTCTGCAGGTACCAACCACCCTTTTGCCTTTAATTGATTAACTTTAAGCTAAATTTGAACAATTATTTTCAAGCTGCACATAGTCTGCTGCTGAAGAAGGGTTTGTGTGCTTGAAAACTTGTTTGTTTTTTTAGCTAAACCAGTCGGTCTACTAAAGGATGACTGCTTCTTCCTATGAACCTGGTCTGGCTTAAGCATACCTGTGATGGATGGCTGTACTGTGCTGCAGTACTACATACAGCGCTTGTTCAATCTTTACTCCTTCAGCAAGCTTTACAGATAGAACTAATTATCTGGGTAGCTGAAACACACAGTGCTTCCCCACTGCTATTGCAAACACTAATACGAAAACCACAGCTCCACAGACCTCCTTTCACTGGAGTACATCATTGTGAGCATGCCATTAAAGCATAACTTCTTTTCTTTCCTGAAGGTCCATGTAAATTTGCTTCTGGTAGAAGCTCGGATGCAAGCTGAACTACTTTATGCTCTGAGAGCTATTACTCGCTATATGACCTGATGTCTCTGGCTGCCTGTTGATGTTGGAATGTTCTGCAGCTGCAGTATGGTAGAGGAAGATACGAAGCCTCAGGACCAATGGTAGCTATAAGTTAAGATGCCCATTGTGCCATAACTCCTTTAGTTTCAGCTATTTCCGTGTTTGGAATATCGCTGCTGCCACTCAGCAGTGAACGCTTGGCAGTTGAAAAGACAGGGTTGTGCAGAAGTGCTGCCTGCTCATGGTATTTTGGCTTTAGACAGCACAGGACACTCTATGAACTTGTGGCAATATAGCAAATGATAGATATATAGATCTTGTGTTAAGGCAAGTATTACGGGAGTTGGAGCCTGAAAAGAAGTGGGACTTGATGACATTTGCTCTCCCTACGAGAATAATTTTAGAGAATCTTGATGCTGCTATTTGTGCTGGTGGAGTGAACAGACACAGGCTGTTCCAGTTAAGCTAAAAGTGAAAGTGAGCACTGCTATTGTCTGAGCCTTTATTGTGTGTGGTTTCAAAAAAGCCTTGTTATTTAGATTTCCTTTTCAATCAGAACTAAACCTCTTCTGTCCACACGGATAATTTGAAAGATAGCAGTCATTTTCTCAAATAGTTTAGCCTTAAAATGCTCCAGGACATTTGTTCAGCATAATTTGGTGAGCTCCAAAGTGCAACGGTCTTCCTATGGAGAGACAAGGACTCGAGTCCTCAGAGCTTTTTAGAGATCTGACTATGTGAAGTGTCAAGTAGCTTCTTGTCCTGTTTTTTAAGGGTGAACCAAGGAGGAGCTTGGACAAGGTGTGGGAATGTTGTTCTAGACTGCCAAACAGTCCTACTGTATTACATGCCCAACGCTGGTCTTACTGGTTTTTGCAGTTGCTTAAATAACTAGGCTAAAAAAGTCTATTTTTAGTAAATCAAAACATGATTAAAATGCTGACATTTAATATACAGAGGTTTTGGAGAACACATGAATACTTTTGTATGAGTGTGAATTGCTTTTTAAATTTGTCAGTATTACTGGTATTTTTTAAATAAAGGTAACAACTTTTTCTCTTGGTGTTTTTGTGTGGTTTAACTTTATGCTTCTCTTTTTACTGGTTAGTTAGTGGTGGAAAGACCATTTTAAAATGTTTGCAACAGTAACTGAGCAAACAAAATTAAAACGATCAATTTTTCAACTGAGATAGGAGAAAAGAAAGTTTAAAAAATAGATTTAGATCTTCACTAAAACTATAGTAGGAACATCTCTTACATAATCCTTATATTTTCATCCTTCCCATAGTCCTCCACCCTCCATTCAGCTATACTCTGTTGTATAGGGTCTTCTCTTTCCTCACAGGTAATGGGCGTGATAGGATCAGAGATTCCAACTGTATGTTTGTATAATCACTTACTTGCAATAACTAGCTCTGAATATTATTTTAAGAGTTAAACTGATTTTAAGATCCTCCAGTAGTGAACTATGGTCCAGATTAGGCTGCTGATTTTCACAGGCTAGTGCCAAAAGGGTATCTGGCATCAGAAGGATGGTCAGGTCTGTGCAGTCAGACTGAGGAATTTATGGCATGAGGTAACAGGCAGCAGGAGGAGGATTTGCTGCAAGGGAGTGACAAACTGTTTTGGACACACTCCTACAGCTGGCTGTAACAGGGGTTATAGTGCAAGTGTTGAAACTCCTGCCTGCTTACAGGAAGGTAGGAGCCTTATTTGCAAGGCAGAAAAGAAAGGGATTTTCTCAAGCCCACAAGTAGAATTAACATTTCTGTCCTCTGGCCTGGTTCACAGTTAGCTCAGACTGATTCCACTCACTGCAGAACATTCTGAGAACAGTTTAAGTTTACAGTCCAAGGAGCTAAAATATCTAAAAAGATCTAGGGGAGAAAGATTAATAAACTGTCAAAAATTGTGACTAACAAACAGGAAGCATCTGCTATTTCCTCTTAACTAAAAATACAGGATTTTTAATGTTCCAAAAACAGACCAAAACTTTCCTGTCTGAGGGCATATCATAAAGCTAAGTTATGCCTAAGAACACAGAAGTGTCTTTCCGGTCTGTAAATGGAGTTTCTGCAGCACCTGAATCTCCTGCTGCTTTTTGGGGGGTTCAAAGGTAGACACGAAATCTTCCAAGAAGCCTAAACTGGCCATTTCCATCCTACGCTCTCCAGGCACATGCAGGCATTGACTCCCTTTTCAAGCAGTAACCACTGCAGAGTTGTGTGTGAGTGGCTTCATATGGTCACATTTTCAATAGAACACTAACCACAGCATGCAGACAATCTTAACTACACACCAAGCTTCTTACTTTGGAGAAAGCACCTGAAAATGTTTGGGGATTTTCCATTAAAAATGCTGAGGCAGTTGTGGTCCTAAGTAGATGAGAACAGGCAAGGCTGTTAAGCACAGTGGCAACCAAAGACAGTAGGGTTAGTCCTTAAAAACAAGAAAATGGGGAAGTTGCCAGATGCTCCATGAAAATGGCAGTCGCTGCACAGAGCAGCAGCTGTGTATGATGCCAGGGCATGAGGGACAGGCCACAGCACTGCCTCAGTCACTGGTGGGTGTGAGCTGCCCTCTTTTGCTGCAGGCTGTAAGCCCTGACAGCTCCTGCAGAGCCTCAGCCTGTGGCTGCAAAGTGCAGCAGCGCCTCATGCACCTCAAATGCTGTAGGCACTAGTAATACTGACAACTCGCCCCACAGAACATGTTGGTGCGGAATGCACTGGTGTGCACTGGCACAAATGAAGGGAACTAAATGGTTGGCTGTTGTGTGGGCCCAGGTAGGTCACTTCCTTAAAAAAAAACAAAACACATAGGATTTTCTTTTGAGTCTGTGCTTAGAAGAGCATGGCAGAGCCCTAGCAGCCCTGTGAGCAGCAATTAAAACAGCCCTCCCCAGCAGCCCTTGCCTTTCCGTCTTCTTTGTAGGTTCAGTTCAACACTTTGTGTGTGTGCGTGTGTGTGTACGCACACTCCCACCCCCAGATAAAAAGAGAGCAGTGTGAGAGAGTCCAAGTACTTGGTTGCTAAAGAGGAGCCGGAGCCTGAAGTCACAAGAGAGCTTCATCATTGAGGTCTGTGGCAAAGCCACCCAAATGGTGGAAGATGCCGTAAAAATACATCAGAAATACAGCATTTTGGGGCTTGTTCTTGTTACCCACAGGTTCAGAGAAAGACATGGGGCCAGTGCAGCTCCACAGGAGCCACTGCTGTGTTTTTTCTGTTAGGTGCTCTGAGGCCTCTGCTCCTCTCTCCGCTCTACCCAGCATACCTGAATGCGCCTCTTCCTGAAGCAGTCGCAGGCCAAACTCTGAGCACAAGGCCAGAGCTCACACACAGCAGCTGCCCCAGCTCTGGTCTCCAGTACGCGATACCCAAATTTGCCTTATGCTACAGGACACACTACACAGTACTCCAGGCCCTTGTTTACAGTTTGATCAGTAATGACTGACATAGCTAGCGTTTTCTTTGAAAAAAAAATGCCTACATATCCACCTTGACTTGAGCAAAACATCAGTTTCAGGTGGCCTTCTGACAGAGCCTCAGTGCTTGTCAATTCTAGTTAGACCTGCTGACAGGACTTGGCCTGGAGGCCTTTTCCACTGCATCCCCACCCTGCATTGCACAGCTTGGTGTTTGCCTGCCTTTTGCCTTGATACAAATGCTGCTAGCTCCCTCCCCACAGGGGAGTCCTTGTCCATCATCCTTTAATACCCCCCAAAAAGCAAATCCATTATTTTTTCCAAGGAACAAATGGGGTTTTGAAGCCATTATCTTCCCCTCAACTTCAGCTAAAATTAAAATTGCAAAAGAAGGAATGATAATTGAGATCTTTTTGAGCTCAGCAGACCTGTTGTTGGAGCCAAACCATACTGAACTGCTGAGCAGTTCTCCTGTGTAGGTTGTGACAATGGAGGCTGCAACACGTGCTCCCTACGTGATTCACTGCGGAGCTGAGCCTTGCTGGTCATGGTCACAAGAAATATCCAAGCTGCTGGGACAACAGGAATGTTGCAAATTTCATTACGTTCACTGAAGTTTCTTCCTCACCACTCCCAAAACCTGGACCATGAATCTCCCCTCCACGCCCCATCAACAGTAAAGAAGTCCCCAAGAATGTAGCAGCAGGGACCTAAACTAGGAAAAAAAACTTCCCTGCCCTTCTACTACTGCTTTACTTCTCAGCATCCTCACTTCATCTCCTCACCGGGAAGCAGAGGTCCAGGCACTGCCAAAGGTACACTGGTGCCACTGAGGGAGCTCTGAATTGCTGCCTCAGAAAAACACAGTCCCCCAGCTTCTCTGCAGGGATTGCCAGGCTGGAGCCTTGCTCTCATGGCACACACAGCACAGTGTGCAGCTGCTGACCCTCAGGATCCGAGCCAGGAGCCCAGCAGTCCCTGCACAGCAGTTTATTCTTAGTAACCTGAGGTCAGAAAAGACACCTGTGTCAGGTCTGTAAACCCTCCTGTAGCCACTTTGGCTGTTAATGCTTGAGGCCAGTAATGCACCTGCTGAGCTAATCCATGGGCAACAAACAGGGACTTTTACACACTGAAAGGATGAAAACTGAGCAATAAACAAGCCAGCAGCAGTCAGAAGGAATGTGAAGGATGTAGAGGCTTTTTTGCCCCATGGATACAGACAGGAGCCCAGGGAAGACAGCTGGCCAAGACAGTCTGAGAAGTACAGGCACCCAGGTGGCTCCCCGGAATGTGGGAACAGCTGAAAGAAGAACACACCAGACTAGCTAAAATCTTCTCTTACATCAGGGATATGGGTGTTTTGCCTTAAGATGTGAAGTCCTAATTCAGAAAAGCCTCTTTCCAGCACAGCTGGCCCTATATCCCACAGTCACCAGCGCAGGAGCTGGGATACCCTAGCCACACAGTATCAGGTAAAGAAAGGGGGATCCTCAAAGGAAAGGGGAGCAAATTTCCTCCGACCATTGACAGCATTCGAGCAAAGAGCAAAGCTTATGATATAACACAGCAGAATGCTGCAATAGCATTTGGGTTACTCTGCTGCAGAATTTCAAATAAAGTGTGTCAAAGTCTGTAGCTAAGATGTGGCTCCTGTCCTGTAACATTCTTTTATAGAGCACAGCATTTTTGGTACCCCAGAGGTCCAGGTACTCAGTTGTAATTTAGCTTTTAAAAATTAAAAGTTCAGCAAATATTTTTTGTTTCATTTTACCAGTCAAGCAACTATGCAATTAATAGACAAATCACACTGAGCAGCTGCTTGATCAGCTCACATATATTGTAACAAGTAAATTACACGTGCAAAAATTTCATACAAGCTTCTCAAATGGTAGTATCCAGTATATAAATGCCAGGCTTTATTGATTTTTTTTTTTTAAATTAAGTTGTCATGCTCTCCGACATGCTTACCAATAGCAGTGTACAGGTATATTAGAAATATAAAGCTGTACAATCTACACCACAAAAAAAAAAAAAAAAAAAGACTGATTAAAATGGAGTAATGGTCACAGTTGGAAGAAAGGAGTGATGGTTTTGAATTCTGTCAAGAAGTTTTTCTGCCACAGGTTTGAACTCTCTTTCCCAATACAGTTTGTGGTAGTCCCTTAAATCTCTGTCAAGGCTGTAATCCAATGCTAGCTTTTCATCTGTAATCAAGGAAAATATCGCCATCAGTTCTGAATAAAAATATACCCAACTATGTATTTTATGACCACAGCACATACAACTTACCAGTTGTGTAATCAGAGATAAAATCCAGCCTTGGACATCAGATCTATATTTGGTGGTATCATAGGATAATTTAGGTTGGACAGGACCTCTGCAGCAGAGCCACTGTAGATCAGGTTGCTCTGGTCCATGTACTCTTGAGTATTGAACATATCCGAGGATGGAGATTCCGCAGCCTTTCTGGGCAGCCTGTTCCAGTGCTTGACCCTTGCCATGGTAGAAACTTCTTTTCCTAATATTTAATCGGAATTTTTCTTATTGCAACTTGTGCCCATTAGCTCTTGTCCTATCACTGACATGGTAGCCCAACATACCTAAAATGAATCTCAGCAGCAAAGTGAGAGACCCTGAAGAACAACATAAGGGATTACAGTTTTTGTTTTCAGGGAGAATTGCTTTGCCTACACCTGAAATGATTCTTCTACCCAAATTAACTATCTTCTAACACAGAGCAAGAGACATTTCTCCCTTTTATTAGACAGCTGTGCCCCCTAGAAGTTGACTGAATGTTTATGGAATCACTGAGGTCAAGAATTCCAGCTTACAAGAAGAAGAGTCAGAATCAGTTCAAAAGCTGAAGTGTTGAAGGAAAAAGTAAATTTCCCAAAGCAGAATGTGAGTAACACTGGGGATCAGTGAGGATCAGTGTCCCACATGCTAGCTGTACATCCTCAGACAATTTAATTTTCCTATGATCCTCCTTAAAACTAGCAAAACTGGGCACTGGCCGAACAGCATATGAACTGGCTGCAAGCCCAAGAATGAGACAAGCACACTGGGTCTGCATGCTATGGGGGAAGCTGAAAACCAGAGTACAGACTCCGGTCAGCAAGGGCTACCCATGCCTGTAACTCCAGCAAGACAGGGGCCAGGAGCCCTGGAAGCTAGTATCATGCCATGTAAGAGTTCACATGTACTGAGATACCAAAATAACCTCCTCGAATTCACAGCGGAGGTAAAAGGTGAGCAGAAGAAAAGTCTGGAAAAAGAGGGGGAGAAAGGAGATTTCACTGAATGACCAAACAGAAGGACGTTCTCAAGACAGAGGCTCATCTCCACTGCTGCTCCTGAGTGACTGGGGCAAGGCAAAGCTGCTGCCAGGGACCTGAAAACACCAGCCTCCAGAAGCTCTGAGTCAATAAAGTGACATGAAACTCAAGAGCAGCTGAAAGAAGGCAAATGCCAGCGCCATTGGAAAGCAATGCCACTGTGTCTCAGGCTGCTGGGATCAGGCAGGGAAAAACAAATGGCACCTTTTGTCCAGCCTTTCTCGGGCTCAACATCTTTTCAGGGTATTAGCACTCTCTTTTGGCTCCCTCATCTTTTGTCATATTATGCCAGGTAGGGGAAAGAAAACTAAAGGGGAGGAGGTCAAGCACAGCAGGTGAAATGAGGTGTCTGCAGTGCCATGCGCCACTTTTTCCGTTTCCTGAGGGTGTGCTGATGTTTAAGTACAGTCCGCTGACTGTCAGCAGTTGCCTCCTGCTTCCTGAATTACAGAATCAGAGCAATGACAGTTCAAGGCTGTTACTGGATACAATGGGAAGAGGAAGACGTAGGACAATACTAACCAGCTGCTATTACTAAAATTTGTTGGCTCTTAACAGACAGAGGAACCAGATCCAATGAATAAGATGTGCTTTTTCTACAGCTACTCTTCTGACTACAGTGTGAAGAAAGACTAGCTTTCTGATTTAATTCTGACCCCTTTTTAATTAATTGTCATTACAGTTGCATTACAATTGCAATCGTAACTGGAATTGCAATTGTATATGAACTTCCAGTTCATGAAAGTCGTACTACTTAATGAGAGTTCCAATTACTACCCAGCCTAGACTACTCTGTAGTCAAATTAATTGCTGGAATAAGCACTGTTAAATGCAGAGGAAAAAATAAGTAAGAACTTTCCAAAACAAAGATATATATTCCTTGCTGCATGCCAGGAAATTCAAGCATGATTGTGGCTGTAAAGTTTGCAGTTCTGTTGCAGAATGTTAAAAAGTGCACTAATGATCTTGAAACACTGAGTATTTTCAGATAAATAGATGGAATTACTGCTCACATTAAGGTCTGCTCTAGCATAGCAAGGAATGTAATGCAAGGAATGTAACGCAATTACAACAATGAGTAACAGTAATTCTGCTGTAGCTGGAAAAAAATCCTCACAAATCCAACTACACTTCTGATTATCTAAAACCAAAAGAGACCACGGGGATCTCTCTTTCTGTCTGGGTCTGACTAACATGCAGCCTTCTCTACAGCAAGCATACCTCTTTAGTAAATTCCCAATTAAAACCAAATCAAAATCAGTTAAGGTTTCCTTTAATTTCATTTACATTTCAAAGATTTTTTTTTAAAGATAATTGCAAATGATCCACCCAAAATAAAATCATAACCAAAGCAGTGCTCATAAAATAAAGAAGGAAAATTACATATAGTGACTATAGGACTATTATATAGCAAGTAAGCTCTGTAAAATCTGAAGCAAACATAGATGAGCAGATGAAAAGATTCAACTGGGTAAGCGAATCAGGGTCTTGACATTCACTTGCAGGCATCTTCCAGCCTGTATTTGTGGAGAAGCACACCTTCCCTATCTTTAGGGAGCAGATTAGAAACTGTCAGGATGTTGTCCTTGCCCAGAAGGAGATCATGATGAGACAAGAAGGGTGGCCAGGGGATTCTTGTCACAAGCAGCAAGCTCAGCCTGTTGCATCACACAGCCCACTGTCTGAGAGGAAAAGCCATATTCCGCAGAATGCCTGGTGTGTGCTGTGTGAGAACCAGTGCATGACAGCTGAGGCGCTGCTTCTGTCAATACCTGTAACGACCTTTGAGGCCAGAAGGTCCCACATCCAGTCAAAAATATGTTTTGCACTGAAGGTCTATGGGATAGTTGGCTCAAGCAGGCAAAAAGGTAGCTGGTGAAAAGCATTAGGCATGCTAACTAGACAAACTAGAGTGGGGAGTGATAGGGGCCAATTCCACCTTGGTAATCTCGAAGATCTGAGGGAATGTACTGAATAGCAACAGCCCACTGTATTGCTGGATAGTCTATACTGGCCAATCACTTAAAGCTGCATGATGGACTTTCCACCTAAACTAATACTGCTTTGATTTTGCTCCTTCTATTCCTTTTATTAAGGAAAAGAGACCAAATTATGAATCTCACCTAGGAGTGATGTAAGCAGGAACACCAATGTGTCAGTATGTTCTTCAAAGCACAAGGCTGCACTTGTGATGTTTTCACTGTAGTTCCACAAGGTTTTGCATATCAAACAAGCAAGCTTCCAGTCTGCTGGCCCAAAGTCTTGTAAACAGTCAACTAACCTGTCAGTATCAAACAAAAACAGTGTTTTACTCCATGTAGTTTTCTCCCAAGCTCTTAAAAATCTGGCAGTCTAGAAATGTATATAGACTCCATGAAAGTTTGCAGGAAAATTCTACATTAATAAACTTAAGATGCTACTCTCTTCCTCAGTAACTTCCCCCTTTTCATTTAGTCTAGTTCCCTAAGGTTGTAAACATGCCTTTTGTCTACACATATGTACATATGCTTGCCTTCATCTGTACATTCCCTATAACTCTTTAGCCCACCCAACCAATTTCAATCACATAGGTCAAAAATGTAACCATCTGAAAGACACTAACATTCTGTCAAATTTCATGACAATCTATGACTGTCCCAAATCTGTGGCTACTACTAGAGCAGAGATTGCAATGTAAGCCAAAACTTAAGAGGCATGAAGAATTCATCTGGAAAAGACTGTATGAATGCAGAAAAAGCTTCAGTCAGAATATCCAGCTTATTAAACATCAGAGGATCTGACCAGAAGACAAATCCAAAGGAATTCACTACTTCCATGACTCACAGAATTATTTTTACATTCAGTGAAATCTGACTATTTTGCAGATCTCACCCCTTCTTGTATTTCCTCAGCCTGTACTCCCAATGGACTCCTCCCAGAAATGCCAGTTTTATTAAGGACCATTATGATCTTGACCTTTCTTCCAATCTCACTTCCTTGCAGAGAGCAAATGCAGGCCAGATCATAAGCAGGACTCTGAAATCAAGCTGTAACTTTTCTGCCTGCACCAGCTTACCTACAGTAGCTATACGGAGTTCCCAATACCAAACAGCAGTGTTCACAAATCCTGGGGTAGCAGAATTAAACATTGTTTTTCACCTGCTGTCCTTAGCGACATCTCTACTAGTAATCCTTCACTGTTGTTCTCTTCCCCAACCCTATGACA